AACCCCGTCCTGCATCCCCCATCCTGCATCCCCCATCCTGCATCCCCTGGCACCCAGAGACCCCCTTGGGAAGGGTGAGGGTCTTGAGTGTGTCACCTCCACCTGCCTGGGTTGGGCAACTTCGGTTTAGTGAGAAAATCCCCAATTCCCACGCCCAGCAGCAAGGACAGCTCCCCCTGACCCCTCTCTCCTTGTTTTCCCCTCCCCAAAATCCCCTCCATGTCCTCTCCCTCCCGGTGTCCCTCCTGTGCCCGGCAACATTGGACATGTGGAGAAGAGTTGCTGTCCATAAAATGCTTTGGAAATGATCCTGCTGATGTGTTATTATTAATAACACCCCTCAGGCTTTATCACTGGAACTGCTGCTGGAGAGAGAAGATTCCTACAGCCACAAACAGTTGAGTTTGATTTAGAGAGCCCCATTTTGTATGAGGAAAATAATTATAAATCAACTCGTCTCATTTACTGCTGCACTAAAGCAGATGAGCAATTCCCAGGGCGATGTTGCCATCTCCACCTCAATTCCCAGCCCTTTCCCTGCTGGCACAAAGCTCCAGAGCTGCTGCTGGTGGGAGAACTCCTGCCCTGAGCCCCTGGAGCTCTGGCAAACCCCTGCAAGGGGAACCTGCTGATGGATTTTTGGGAAGCAAAGCGGGCAGCTCTGGGTGGCAGGGAAGGCACTGACCCACTCCATGGGGACAGAGGGACAGGAGGGCTTCAGAGGGGACCAGAATGTGGCCCATGGCACAGTGAAGGTAAAACCTGCTCTGTCCCCTCACAGGAACTCTGCTGACCCAGCTCCTGCTGTACCCCACATTCCTTGGCCTGGTTTTGGGACTGTTCAATCCTGGTTGTGCCTGAAAATCCTGCAGGATGAGCAAATAGGAGAGCAGAGCAGCACAGACACCAGGGAAGATGTTTGTGTGGAAACAACCTTATTTGTTTTATGAAAAAAATAAGCCAAAACCAAGTTATCCCATAGAGTTTGGGATAGAAATACGTAGAGTTTGCAGTGGAGGGAATTGCCTTCATTCCCAGAGGGATTCATCAGGGACTCAGGCAGCTGTGATGGGGAATTCAGGAAAATCCAGGAGAGGTCCAGCAGGTCGTGGGACCTGCATTTCCCACTCCTCTCCTCTGGCCTTCCCCCAGCTCCCAGCTGGAATATCCTGGAATACTCAGCCCTGGACAAACCTGAAGAGCAGCAAGAAACTGCACAAGGCAGGAGGTGGCTTTGGCTGTTCTGCTTGGGAAGGGCTGGGTTTGGGGATGGAAAGTGGCCGTTCTGGCACCTCGGGAGGAGAAACTGGCTCTGGAGCAAGCCAGGTTTTGCAGGGAAAGCCACCAGCCCAGGAGGGACTGGGACTCAGGGGCTCAGCTTGGCCCCCTGGGGTCCCCACAGCTCCTATCCCCTGCCCCAAGCTCTACATCTCAGATCGTGAAGTGCCCCCAGTCCTGGCCGTGTCAAGGCAGGGAAGGATTTAAGGAGCCCGGAGTGAGATCCCACTTTCCTGCCCTTGTGCCCAGGGCCTTTTCCACCTCTACTCCACAGCCCAGCTGAGCAGAAGGGGATGGGACACCCCCATCCCAAACCCCTTCTCTCTGCAGCAGGAAAATCCTCCCCTCGTGTCCCTGAGGGGCAGCAGAGTCTGGGAGAAGCCAGGCACCGATACAGAAATCAGGTTGGAAAAGGAAACACAGAGCATCAAACGATCTGCAAGACTCCAATTCACTCTCAGGGGTGCAGAGAGGGCCCCTGTGCCCTGTACAGCCCCGAGAATCATACAGACCTGCAATATAGAGATCTCTCTATGTATATATTTATAGGTATGTATATATTTATAGTGCACTGCATTTAAAACAGCCGGGCCTGCTTCTTCAGCTCGTTCCTCTTCCACAGCGCCAGGCGGTCGAATTCGGCCATGGTCATCCCGAAGATCTGGTAGAATTCCTCCTGGGACAGGTGTCTCTGGGGAGAAATGGGAGGCTGGGCCAGAGCTGGGCACCCTCCAGGGCTGAGCAGAGGGGTGAGGGCATCCCCTGCCCGCTGGGACAGCGGGGTGACAGGAGCCCCCTCGGGAAAGGGGAGCACTGCCTCCCTCCTGCCCCTGCCAAAGGCACAGGGGACAGCTCTGCCCGGCCAGGGGAGCAGCAGGAGCACTGGGACAGTGCCCTGACCCTCGTGTGCTCCTGAGCAGACGTGGGGATGCTCCTCACACGGCCACGAGCCCCACACGCTGCGTGCCAGGGGCACCCCGTGGCATCGTGTCCCTCTGTGCCCCGATAGTCCTCAGTGAAAAAAGCTCTTCTCACCTCTAACCGAGTCCTGTCCACATCTTTGGGCAGCTGGTTCCTCCCCCTGGTCTTCACCAGGAGCAGCTCGTAGGGGTAGATCTGCACGGGGACAGGGACACGTGGGGCAGCCACGAGACACTCGGGGCACACTTGGGAATGAGGGCAAGGGTTTGGGTGGCACAGCTGACTCCAGGGCTTGGATGGGACAAGGAGAGGTGGGAATTGCTCTCAGGGTGGCTCTGATCCACCCAGAATCTCCATGGTGGCTCTGGAATAACCTGCTCACTCTGCAAAACCAGGAATGACCCAGGCACGAGCGTGAGCAGGAAACCAGCAGCACAAACCCCTGCTCTGTTCCTCACCCGGGGACAATTCTGCTCAGCAAACATTGTCCCAAGCACCTGGGACCTGGCAGGAGGGGAGGGACTCTGCTCTGAGCCCCACAGCCCTGGGATGGGGCTGTCAGGTGGAGGATGGAGGGGAACGGACACATCCCTGGGACTCCCACCTCTGCCTGGTGGCCGCTCCTTGCAGCAGAAGGGTCTTACCTTGTACTCTGTGGGGAGAGAAAAAAGCGAGCCTGAGCCACCCCGACCCCTCTGCTGCCACCACCCTCCCCCCAGTGCTGCCCATATCCCCCCATTCTCCCTCCAGCCCCCCTGCCCATCTGCAGGGGGGGTT